CGTTAAATCAATCTATTGGCCATAAGCCAAGTGTTTGAAGCCTTCTTTGTGGTCACCAAGAGGGATTACAAGGATTGGGTTCTGCTTATCCTTAATATCCTGTTCAGTAACAATGCCAGCACTACTATCAAAGTTTTTACAATCTAAATCCTTATTTACTATTATATCAATTATGGCATCCCTCTGATTCCTGTCCAAAGGGCTATTGCTGGTGCTGTATCCAAGGAAAGTTCTCCGGCCGAAAGTTGTATTAATTGATTTTAGGAGACTGACCCATGGAAACACAGTACCAGTGCACCGTCTGGGCTCATCAAATTTCCTCCTTTGGTTAATGCTACTGTCCCTGAGCACATCCATTCAGACCATATGGTTCTTATTCAGTCCTTGAATGGCTTATTCAGGCGAACATCCAATGGCTGTAATAGCGATGTCAGACCCCCCAGGACTCACGCAAAGATCAGTTTTTAATTTTTTGGCCATATTTCTTACTCCATCTGTTAAATGTGCATGGAACAGTTCCCATACTTACATGGAACATTTGTGGAACTGCGCCCCTGGGCAGGGATCCCATATCTTTTGCAGCCAGAGTTTGACGAGATCATCATGGATTCAATCCTTTGGATATGTCTATGCTATTGCTTAAGCAATATTTCTACCCCCTCCCTTTTTAAAAAAGATTTATTCAGAAAACTATGAGCAGCTTTGGTTTTATTCTGCTGGCTAGACCGTGTATAGGTTCTTTCTTGTTCCTTCTGGTGAGAGTAGTTTTGAAACTCAGAGTTAAGATCGTAGGTTGTGAATATTCCATCCATTTCTTGGAGACACACAAACTTGTGCTTATACTCTGCTGTTAGTTAAGGCAGTCTGGCAAAGAATTTTCTGCCACCATCATCTAAGGTTGGCAAATAATACTGAAAAGTATTGATGATACTCTAGTAATATGTTAGCACCTTCCCTCTGAGGAGGCCCACAAAAAGCTCACTGAAATATTATCTCATTCTGTCCTCATAATATCTCTATGAAATATATAGAAATTGGTTGTCTCTCATTTTAAAGTAGAGATTCTTTATTTTACCAATTGTCAGATAATAATATATGCTTAGCTCAACTTTCTACTCACATTGCTTTCTTATTGTGATTCCCGAAACAAGAAACTGTTTACAGGTAGAAAATGAAAAATCTATTTAGTATTAAAGGGTGAAATATATTGTTAAAACCTAGATTAGGCTTAGTGACCTACTTGATTCCTGTGACAATGAAAAATTGCTTTTTTACTTTGCAAACTTTGTCATGTGAAGATAAAGCAAAATTAACAATCAGTATAGAGAGGCAAAGATTTCAACTCTGAAATTAGAAAGACCTAAGCTGAAATGTCAGTTATGCCATGAAATTGCTGTGAAATCTGGGGCTAGTGTTATTTTTCTCTTCTGTAAATGGAGTTAAAACTGTACCTACCTCATTGTTTTTGTTAATATTAAACAGAATAATGATTGTAAAGTGCTTAGCAATATGTGCCAGGCATAGTGTAAATACTTTTATTTTGAGACAGAGTCTCACTCTGTTCCCAGGCTGGCGTGCAATGGCAAGATCTTGGCTCACTGCAACCTCCGCCTCCAAGCTTCAAGTGATTCTCCTGCTTCAGCCTCCCAAGTAGCTGGGACTACAGGCGCCTGCTATCATGCCCCGCTAATTTTTGTATTTTTATTAGAGACAGGGTTTCACTATGTTGGCCAGGCTGGTCTCAAACTCCTGCCCTGAGATGATCTGCCCAACTCGGCCTCCCAAAGTGCTGGGATTACAGGCATGAGCCACCGTGCCCTGCCATTAATACATCTTAAATAGTCATCATCTTTATAATTATTGTTACTGGGATGTCAATTATTTTTAGATAGCAAGTATACAGACTAACCATAGAAAGTTGACCAGATTAACTGAAAATTCCACTTTATCACTAGCTCTTTGCAGGGCTGTTTTGCTTTGGATCAAAATTCTGAGGTCTGGTTTACTTTCCAAATATTATAGCCCTAAGGGCAAAATCTGCATATGGCAACAGTAACTATGCTTCCTTCCTAAGAAGAAAAAAACTGACAAAAATTAACAACAAAAATTTATACAGGAGATAACATGTCAATATAGTTAGTAAAAGATAAAGAAGTGTTCAGCTCACATGTGTAGTTATTTGTTTTTTCTTAAAAATGTAGGTTGATGGCTGGGCATGGTGATTCACCCCTATAATTCCAGCTCTTTGGGAGGCTACTAAAAAATACAAAAAAATTAGCTGGGCATGGTGGCACATGCCTGCAGTCCCAGCTACTTGGAAGGCTGAGACAGGAGAATCACTTGAACCTGGCAGGTGGGGGTTGCAATGAGCTGAAATCGCACCACTGCACTCCAGCTTGGGTGACAGAGTGAGACTTTGTCTCAAAAAAAAAAAAAAAAAAAAATGCCAGTTGATTTAGTTTTCTGAAAGCTTCTTCACAAGTTCAAAGTTAATGATAAGGTTATTCTGAGAGTCATCTAGTGCTCTATCCTTTTCCTTTCTAGGAGTCTGCATTTGTAGGTTTTTCATTTATTTATTCATTTGTTTTAAGACTTAGTCATTCCTAAAACTTTATCTATCTTCCAAGTCTCTGGAAAAACAACAAAGATTTATTTTGTAGATTAGCTTTAGATGGTGATATCTGATATATTGACATTATGATCGTACACTCTTATGTTGTGAATATAAGTGACCCCTTGACATATAAACTTTGCCATACTTATAAGGTTCTTAATAGTTTTTCATGGAGGTCATGGATTATGGAGGTATGTCAGAAGCTGGCAAAGGTCCAAAGACAGGATAAGGAGCAGGCAAGGGGCTTTTTAAGCCAGAGCATTTCCATTTTTTTCGAATGTATATATATATTAGAATTCTGTGGACTTCATTGAAAGAAAGGGTTTATGGATCGAAAAGTTAATCATTAACCTAGATGAAGAATGTGAATCTTTAAAAATAAAATATATTTTGCCCCATTTTATTCACTTTCTCTTGTCTGTGATCATTCTTATTTGTGCTTAGAAGTAATTATATTTCTCCTCTATTTGCTTATTTAAATTTGAATTTAATACTGTTGGTTTTAATATTGTCTGAGAGTATTTCTAAGTATCCCTCAAATTGTTCATAATTTCCAAGAAATATAACATCTATATCATATATGTGCATATATATGGTATAAGATATGACATTTGAAGGCCCTGCTATTAAGCACAAATTATTGGTATTAAATATGTATTTACAATATAATTTATTGGTGGAGCTGAGCTACATGTTCTCAGATAGCCACTACTAGTGGTTTACTGTGGACCATGAACTTGATCACAAGAATAATAAATCAATGGCAATAAAGAAACAGATTCTCCCTGTGACTTTCCCTCTTTATGGCTGTGTATTTCTTCTAAGTAGAGATTGAGACAAATTGACAAAAATTGACAATAATTATTGGTTCCAAAATAAATAGAGATTGTTGTTTCAAGAATGCAATTCCTAATATTTTCTATTGCTTTAGTGAAAAATAATAGAAGGAATTTTTGGTAGTGCATGAATTTCTCTGTATTTTTATTGGCTACTTATAAAATCTGAAAGAAAAAAAACCTAAATCCTTTTTAAATTACCCTCTCAACTCATATATTTAGCACAATTTACCAACATTTCCAAACTCAGCATGGAAAAGCCATCAACATGGCACTAGGTCATGGGTCCTGAATGAAGCCGTCAGCAAGGATTAATAAACTGTGACAGCTGCCCAAAAGCTTTCATTCTTTTTATTTAAACATCAGATTGCAAGCTGAAACTCAGTGTAATCCTTGTTGAAACTAGCCCAGCTAACATGGAAGAAGTCAGAACTGAGAACAAATGACAGTAATAGTTATTGCAAATTCAGTCAACAGAAATAAATTCTAGCATTTAAATTTACATAAATAGCAATTCCTAGAAAATGTTTTAAGAGTAGCACACAAACTATTACTATATGTTTCAACAACTGTTGTTGTTTTTCCATTTTTTAGAGTCAAGTTTACTCACTTTGTTGCATAGGATGGACTCGAAATTGTAGGCTTAAGTGATCTTCCCACCTGAGCCTTCCACTTAGCTGGGACTACAGTGGAAGTCCCAGGGGTGGGCCGCTGTGCCTACCATGTTTTAAAAAGTCTTAATAATTATATTTTTGAAAACTAGATTGATGAAAAGATTATTTTGCTCCAATTTCTATGTTCAATAAATTATTTAATTATTTTTCTACTAGTCCCTTCTCTCATACTGCAATCTAAAAGTGACTTTAGGCTGGGTATGGTGGCTCATGCCTATAGTCCCAGAATTTTGAGAGGCTGAGGTGGGCGGATCACTTGAGCCCAGGAGTTAGAGACCAGCCTGGGCAACATGGTGAAACTCTGTCTCTACCAAAAAATACAAAAATTAGCTGGGCATTGTGGCATGCATCTGCAGTCCCAGCTACTCAGGAGGCTGAGGTGGGAGGATTGCTTGAGCCCTGGAGGTGGTGGTTGCAGTGAGCCAAGATTATACCACTGCACCCCAGCCTGAGGAACAAAATGAGACCTTGTCTCAAAAAAAAAGTGACTTTAGTAATACTATAGTTATAAAGTCTACTTCTGGGTCACCTAACTTTCCAGGGAATTATTCAGAAAAACTAGGCTATGTTATATCAGTAAACAGACTATATTACATAAGAAAAAGATTGCTGTTGCATTACTTTGGGTACAAATATAACATACATATACCAACAGAATGGCGAAAGTGACCTAAAAGATAGTTGTGAACTATAATTTCCTAAATAATACATGTTTGCAGATATTAAGATACGACAGTTAACCTATTGGTCTAGGAATGAATTATTTTTAAGTAGATTTTAAATGAATATATAAGATTTCCTAGAGGTTGAACATCAGCATCAGCAATTTATCAGTTTTGTATACATGTCAAACGGGTAGTAAATAATTGATCTTACCCCTTTTTCAATATTCCCAGTTTGACACAATGTCCCCTCAGCTGCTGGAATACTGTTGGTGACACAGCGGTTGCTTTTGCTGAGGCACCAGAGCTCTCTACACACTTCCTAGGAAAGAAGGCAAAAGCAAGTTGATCAGAAATAGAGTCATGTCCAATTCTTCCATAAAATACACTTAACAGTCACTCTGCATTACTTTCAAAAGAGACCCTGGGTCCCTTTTGCTGCTGAAGCATCAGAGATGAGGATTTTGGAGGAGGTTTTTATGGAAGGTAGGTTATCCATTTTGCAGTATCATTTAAATATCTGTCTTTATAATTCTTATTTTAGCAGATAAAGGGTATCTTAGCTTTTAATATTGGTTAGGATCTTTTCATAATAGTGTATAGAAATTTCATTAATATAGATAAGTAGGGAGAAAAAATGACTATATAGAAAGGAAATACACGTTTATTACACTCCAGAATATACAATAGTACAAACTTACCAATTACTAATAAAGTGATGCCAGGTAAATGACTTCTTAGATCTACCATAATATTCAAATAAAGACAATTTTAAAACAGAGAAATAGACCATGGGAATGGATAGGAATTTAATGTATGGATTTTTAAATTTTTGAAGTACATTTGGAAGTAATTTTTAATATTTATATATGCCTAAGCACAATCTAGCAATGTTATTTTCAGTTAATCAATGTAGCATACCTTCATGAAGAAGAAACTTGGTTTTGAACAAATGCTGCTGTTTATAGAATGTTTGGGTATGTTGTGTGGAGTTGTCTTGTCTCCCTTCTCACGATTTTCCATTATCCTACCTCAGCGTAGGAAAATTACAACATTTATTCTAATATTAGCAATATAAATACTTTTTTGTTAATACTATATTAACATATCAGATTTTAAAATAAGCTGTCCAATATTAATCCTAAAGTGTTTAAACAGCCCCCAAAAGCTTACTTTTGAAGAAAACACTCAAATTTTCAGTTTCCTTTTATATATGATCACCAACTAGCATCATTACCAATGTTATGTTTTTAATTTAAGCTAGAACAACCTAGTATAATATATATTTATAATAAAAATATGATTATCTGAAATGCAAAAGTAAACTAACACATGACATTAATCCTTTTGCTTTTATTCCTCAACTGATCTTTTAACTGTCAGAACATAATTTTAAGAACTCATGTTACAAATGCAATCAGAATGAAGGCAGTGAAATACTGATGTAACTAGTTAACTGGTCCTATAAGTGTCCCACAGAATATAACAAATTGAGGGGATCTCTTTGGGTTCCTCTTTAGGGTGCCTCCTACCAGACAGAGAGGAAACATAATGTCTATTAGGCTTTTTTTTTTTTTAAGACAGAGTCTTGCTGTGTCACCTGGGCTGGAGTGCAGTGGCGTGAGCTCAGCTCACTGCAACCTTCACCTCCTGGGTTCAAGTGATTCTCCAGCTTAGCCTCACAAGTAGCTGGGACTAAAGGTACTAGCCACCACACCTGGCTAATTTTTGTATTTTTAGTAGAGATGGGGTTGCACTATGTTGGCTAGGCTGGTGTTGAACTCCTGACCTCGTGATCTGCCTGCCTTGGCCTCCCAAAGCACTGGGATTACAGGTGTGAGCCACCATGCCCAGGCCCTATTAGGCTTTTAAATACCTAAAAATGTTTAAATTCCATTTGGAGAACTAGTGACCTGGAGAGAGAAAAAACATTAGAAAAGAAAAGCATGGGGGAAGATCCAAGATGGCGGTTTAGGAGCAGCTCAGAATTGCAGCTCCCAGTGAAAGCACAGAGGGTGAGTGGATGCTGCATTTCCAGATGGATCTTTATTGCCCACAGACTGGGAGATTTCCAGGCGGAGGAGCCCCACGGGTCGCCAGCATGGCTATTTTGACCAGAACAGCTATTTTGCCGGCACCCCGGCACGGCGGTTCTCCATACAAAATACACTGGTCTGGTTTCCCTTTTAAGCTGTCGATTGAAGCTCCGGGAAGGCAGAGTGGCCCATTCATCTGATTAAACAGGGGACAGAAACAGGGAGCCAGGCCAGGAGATTCCCAGGCAGCACCATTGTTTCAGCCAGCGCAGTGGGTCACCGCACAGGAAATCACACAGATCCCAGTGCCTTTTCAGCAGGTGACTGGAACAACTGGGGGAGAGTCAACTGTCCAACTTAAAATAAAAAATGACTCTGAGGCAGGGAGCCAGGGTATCAGGCTCGGCAGGTCCCACACCCACAAAAAAAAAACCCAGCAATTGGAAACGCACTGGTTTGAGAGTTTCACGGCAAGCACAGCTGAACACAGGATGGTCCAGCACTGTGGGGGAGGGGCGTCCGCCATTACCGAGGCACTCCACCCCTACGGAGGTAGTCCGCAATTGCTGAGGCAGCCTGCCATTACCGAGGCAACCCCCCACTACAGAGAGAGTGTGCCATTACAGAGGTGGGCCACCATTGCCGAGGCAGTGCTAACCACACCCACATAAACAAGACTGCAGGGAAGTTCACACGGCAGCAGGGCAGAGCCCACAGCAGCTCAGCAAAGCCTCTGCAGGCAGACAGTGACTAGGCTGCCTCCTTGCAGGGCAGGGCAGCCCTGGAAAAAAAAGGCAGCAGCACAACGGAAACTCATAAATAAAGCCCTAACTCCCCAGGATACAGCACCTGGGGGAAAAAAAGGAGTTTATGAGTTCTGCTGCAGCAGACTTAAACATACCTACCAAGCAGCTCTGAACAACGGAGCTCACAGCTCAGTACTTGAGCTCCTATAAAGGACAGACTGTCTCCTCAAGCAGCTCCCTGACCCCTGTATATCCAAAGAGTCACCTGACAAAGGACTGATCAGACTGACATTTGGCAGGCATCATTTTGGGACAAAGATAGCACAAGAAGAAACTGGTAGCAACATTTACTGTTCTGCAGCTGCTGCAGTTGATCCCCAGGCAAGCACAGCCTGGAGTAGACCTCAGCAGTCCTACAGCAGAGGGGCCAGACTGTTAGAAGGAAAAATAACAAACAGAAATAACTTCATCATCAACTGGACATCCACTCAGACACCCAATCTGAAAATCAGCAACTACAAAGATGACAGGTGGATAAATCCACAAAGATGGAAAGAAACCAGCACAAAAAGGAGGAAAACACCTGAAACCAGAACACCTCTCCTCCTACAAGGGATCACAATTCCTCACCAGCAAGGGAACAAGGCTGGATGGAGAATGAGTGTGATGAAATGACAGAATCAGACTTCAGAAGGTGGGTAATGAGAAACTTCTGTGAGTTAAAATAACATGTTCTAACCCAACACTAAGAAACTAAGAATGTTGAAAAATGATTTGATGAAATGCTAACGAGAGTGGACAACTTAGAGGGAAATATAAGTGAATTGATGGAGCTGAAAAATACAACACAAGAACATTGCAAAGCATGCACAAGTTTCAATAGCCAAATTGACCAAGCAGAAGAAAGGATATCAGAGGTCAAGGATCAACTCAATGAAATAAAACGAGAAGGCAAGATTAGAGAAAAAAGCGTAAAAAGGATTGAACAAAGTCTCCAAGAAATATGGGACTATGTGAAAAGACCAAATCTATGTTTAATAGGTGTACCTGAATGTGACGAAGAGAATGAATCCAAGCTGGAAAATACTCTTCAGGATATTATCCAGGAACACTTCCCCAACCTAGCAAGGCAGCCCAATATTCAAGTCCAGGTATACAGGGATCACGACAAAGATATTCCTCAAGAAGAGCAACTCCAAGGCACAAAATCGTCAAATTCACGAGGGTTGAAATGACGGAGAAAATGCTAAGGGCAGTGAGACAGAAAGGTCGGGTTACCCACAAAGGGAAGCCCATCAGACTCACAGCAGATTTCTCAGCAGAAACCCTACAAGCCAGAAGAGAGTGGGGGCCAATAGTCAACATCCTTAAAGAAAAGAACTTTCAACCCAGAATTTCATCTCCAGCCAAACTGAGCTTCATAAGTGTAGAAAAAATAATATCCTTTGTGAACAAGCAAGTACTCAGAGATTTTTGTCACCAGCAGGCCTGCTTTACAAGAGCTCCTGAAAGAGGCACTACACATAGAAAGGAACAACCAGTACCAGCCACTCCAAAAATATACCAAATGGTAAAGAGCATCAACAAAATGAAGAATCTGCATCAACTAACGGGCAAAACAGTCAGCTAGCATCAAAAGGGCAGTATCAAATTCACACATAACAATATTAACCCTAAATGTAAATGGACTAAATGCCCCAATCAAAAGACACAGACTGGAAAATTGGATAAAAAGCCAAAACCCATTGGTGTGCTGTGTCTAGGAAACCCATCTCACATGCAATGATACATAAAGACTCAAAATAAAGGGATGGAGGAAGATTTATCAAGCAAATGGAGGGCAAAAAAAAGCAGGAGTTGCAATTCTCGTCTCTGATAAAATAGACTTTAAAGCAACAAAGATCAAAAGAGACAAAGAAGGACATTACATAATGGTAAAAGGATCGATGCAACAAGAAGAGCTAACGATCCTAAATATATACGCACCCAGTAAAGGAGCACCCACATACATAAGGGAAGTTCTTAAGGTCTTACAAAGAGACATAGACCCCCACACAATAATAGTGGGAGACTTTAACACCCCATTGTGAATATTAGACAGATCAACCAGACAGAAAATTAACAAGGATATCCAGGACTTGAACTCAGACCTGTAACAAGCAAACCTAATAGACATTTACAGAACTCTCCATCCCAAATCCACGGAATATACATTCTTCTCAGCACCACATCACACCTACTCTAAAATTGACCACATAATTAGAGAAATCATAACAAACGGTCTCTCAGGCCACAGTGCAATCAAGTTAGAACTCAGAATTCAGAAACTAACTCAGAACCACACAGCTTCATGGAAACTGAACAACTGGCTCTTGAATGTTGACTGAATAAACAATGAGATGAAGACAGAAATGAAGATGTTCTTCGAAACCAACAAGAGTGAAGACACAACGTAGCAGAATCTCTGTGACACATTTAAAGCAATCTCTAAAGGAAAACATATAGCAATAAGTGTCCACATGAGAAGCCTGGAGAGATTC